ATTCCTGGAAATACTTGACATCAGGCAGCTTTCTAATATTTGAGATCTGGTGGGTATAAAGGGTTGTCTTATTTCATTTTTTTTTTTTTTTTTTTTTTGTCTTTTTCCTTTTTATCGGTACCGGGGATCGAACTCATGACTGCCTGCTTGCAAGGCAGGCGCTTATGCCGCTGAGCTAAATCCCCAGCCCCCAAGGGTTGTCTTATTTCTGTTTTAAATCACCTATCTTCTTTCCTTCCTTTCTCTTTTTGGTATGTTGTACAGGAGACTGAACCCATGACCTTATTGGATGCTAGGCAAGTGCTGTAGTGCTGAAGTACATCTGTAGCCCATCCTCCACACCCACTTCAAACTTTAAGACAGATTCTTGCTACATTGCCCAGGCTGGCCTAGAACCTTTGATCTTAGGCCTTGTCCTGATTAGCTAGGATTACAGACATGTACCAGCACACCCAGCTGTTAAACTGCATTTTTGATTACTGACTTTAAAAATATTTTCATTAATATGCTCAGTTTTTGGCCTTCTACTCATCAAATCAATTGTTTTATATTATTCAGTCATTTTTCTATGTGGTAATCACCTTTTCCTTGTTGATTTGCAAATTTTTTTGCCACTCAATATGTTAATCTCTTATCACATTTTGACTTTATAGATATCTTTTCTTTTTAGATATCTATTAACTTTATAGTGCTATTTCTTGAACAGAAACCCTTAAATTTTATGTAACAATATTCTGTAATAATATTTATAGATTTTTCCTTAATTGTTCATACTAAGAGTGCAAATTTAAAAATCTTTCCTGGCTGCAGATTATAAAAATATTTCTTACATCTTTATTAAAATTCTAAATTAAACCTTGGTAGAGTTAAGAATAGCTAGGATTGAAGGTTTAGCTCTTACTTAGGTCTTATTAATGTCTTTTCCTTTAAACATAACATTGCTTGAGGATCTATGAAGAATGTGACTTAAGCAGTCCAGGTTTACAAATTTTTTATTCTATGCATTGAAGAAAGAGGATTATTATTCCTAGATCCGACTTGGATAATTATAGAGAAAGACTCTGCTTGACTGGTTAGAGTAGGAATGAAAACTATTATTATGGCTTGATTAACAAGATACCTTAGTAAATGCCAGGCAGGCAAAACAATAATCACTATGAGGGTGATAAGATAAATATATACATTAATTAAAGCTAACCATGGGGTTTGGGTATGGCTTAGTGGTAGAGCACATGCCGGAGTCAGTACCACAAAGAACAAGAACAGAAAAAAAATGTTCTTCAGGGTTTAGAAGTGGAGACAATTGCACCTTCTAGGCAATTCTTTACAGCAGAAATAACATTTTCAATAGACTGAAGTACAGGTAAAAATTGTATACAGATGAAATTATAAGTAGGGGAAGTTCTAAGTAGAGGAAAAAGCATAGGTAAAATTGCAAAGGCAAGAAATTGGGAGTGTATTCAGGGTATAATCCACTTGGCTGGGCCATTGGATATAGGAGTCAGTGTGTGCTAGCTACCTGAAAAAATACTTTCAGAAGGTATGGTGACCACATAATCAGCACTCACTACCTCAGCTTTGTCTTTAATAGAACCCTGACTGATTGGGATGACAATATGCTCTTTTTTGGGCTAAGCCTTGATGAATCTAAGCTTGCTGTGGAAATTCAGCTCCCCTTTGCCTGACATTAAATTTCCCATGCTCCCTGGAAAAGGAGGTGGGCACAGGATTCAACACTGGCTAACAAAATGCAAGAATACATCTCATAGAATTTTTCTTTCCATTGTCTTCTGTGTGGCACTGCAGCAGCTATCTTGTATCCAAATAGAAAGGAAAAGAAAATTCCATGTTTCAGTCCAGAGTTCTGACATCCCTAGAACCAAGTTCAGCAGGGAGGTCCAAGTTTCACAGCTTTAGCATTTCTGTGGTTGATTTGGTTCAGTGCTCTGTGTTGTTATCTTGAAGTTATGAAAAAAATTTTTTTGGTGTCTGGGATTGAACCTAAGGCCTCATCGTGCTAAATACCCACTTTATTGCTGAGTTATGCCTCCTGCTTCTGCTACTAATAATTTTTAGCAAGAAGTTGTGCATTGTCATTTTTCCCTGGGCTAACACAAATTATGTAACTTCTTCTGAATAGAGCTACAGTGAAAATTCTGAACTTTCCCATTTTTAATCCTTTTGTTAATAATAAATGTCCTGGAGAAAAGTCTGAGACTCCTGAGAATCGGCCATGCTGGGACTGGGAGGATCAAAGAAGCCAACCAGCCAGCCCTTCTGATAAGCTGTACAGACTTCCAGGAAAAGTCAGTGCCCCCAATGACCCTACTGGTGTCGGGCTGAGAATCAACACCCCTTTCCCCCACCCCGTGCCATAAGCGACCCGCTGGTTCGGCGGACAGGCTGATTTAATAGCAACTAAGGTACAAAAAGCAACTAAATGGTTGTATCATCTGGTTGACTTTGCCAGTGGTCTCAGCATCCCTTGGGAGGATGACAGTATGCAATATAGCAAATATGGGGGATTTCCTTTTGTCTTGTCTTTGAAAACCAATATAGGTCTCACTGTTTTGGTTTGTTCTGATTGTTTTTCTTTATTCAATATTCTGTTTTGATTGGTTTTAATCTGTTTTGTTTTTGATTGGTTTTAATGTTTTGATTTTGTTGTGCCTGATGGAATGGGCAATTAATTGTGACAATAACAAGATATACTATGGTAGCTATTGTTATTTTCCTAGTATCCTGTTTTGAAGTTCTGTACCAATGTTGCTGCTTTGTTTTGATTGGCTTTGTTCTGTTTACTTTTGTTGAATTTTACTATCTTTTAAAAAAATGCCCTTATGAGTCAAATACCACTGGTGGGGCTTTCTGTTATTCATAGTTGAACACCTTCTGATACATTAAACTTGAAACAAGATTCCTGGATTCTCCCATCTTGGCAACAAAGCTATAAATTCTTTAACCAACATGAATTTCTTTACAATCTGAGTGTTCAAACATCTGATCTTCAGTTTCCTTATTTAAAAAAAATTGTTTTGTGAAGTACTTGGGATTGAACCCTGTGGTGCTCTGCCACTGAACCACATTCCTAGCCCCTTTTCTTTTTCTTTTTGATATTTTATTTTTGTACTGGGGATTGAACTCACAACCTTACTCTTGCCAAGCAGGTGCCTATGCCACTGAGCTAAATCCCTGGCCCTTGAGATGTGTTCTTGCTAAGTTGTATCAGCCTCCTGAATAGCTAGAATTGAAGGTGTTTACCACTGTGTGCCTCCTAGTTCCTTATTCTGGAAGTGGGGATAAGTAATTCTGACTGGTCAGAGTTATGAAAGGCTGAGATGAGTTGACATGTAAAGCACACAGCTTGATATCTGATGTTTAATAAGTGTCACAGTAATGTTTGCTGGATTATGTTTTCTTTTCCATGTCTTCTAATCAGGCCAACTGAGGGGCCGGGCTGTGGATCAGTGGCACAGCACTTGCCAGGGATGTTCAAAGTCCTAGATACACACATACACATACACACATACATACATACATCCCACACAGGACAGTAGGTCCTCTGGGACCACCACCTTTTTTTTGTTTAAAAAAATAAAAACCAAAGGTCAGGGAGAAAAAGATGACATTGTTTGAGCTGAATATTTAACATAATCTAAAGCTGGAAAGAGATAGGAAGGAGGAGAAGGAAAGGTGAAGTAAGAAGGGTTGAGATGTGATATGTGTATGTTGTGATTTAGAGCAAGACTGTCTCCCAAAGGCCACATTCACTCATAGATGGGGCTTTTGTAAAGTGATTTAATTATGGGAGCGATATAGCTGACTTGTTCTAAGGAGGTAGGGTCTGATCAAAAGAGGTGTGTCACCAGGGAATGGTATATCTCATTTCTTGGCTCCTCATTTCTCTCTCTTTCCTGTTCACCATAATACAAGCAGTCTTCCTGAACCCAGGCCCTTTGATTGTACAGTCTCTATATTTAAAGATGTCAACTAATGGATTTAAATGTCTGAAATTATGAGCCAAAATAAACCTCTCCTTTAAATTATGGGTGTTAAGTATTGTGTCCTAGCGAGATAAGAGATTAGGGGTGTGGCAAAACTGGCTGGGGAAGTAGGTGTGACCTGTCCATTATGAAACTCTGGAACACAGATACAGAACAATTCCCAAAGCCCTGCATGGAGAACTGGAGCAGGTCTTGAGATGTGAACAGCATAAAGGGACAGAGATGCCATGAAGAGCTGGCTCTCCTGGCTTTCTCAAGGTGGCCCACACTGCATCCCCAGGGTGTGTTTTCTATCGCCTTTTTGTCTCTTACTTGACTCAAGCTGGCTCTACAGAGCCAGTTTCCCTCTTACTCTTCATTTTTACTTCTTCAAATAAACTTTGCGTACTGTTTCTTTGTTTGAGATGAAAACAACCTAGAAACCAGCTCCAAAAAGATACATAAAACCCAGTAATGTTTAATTGGTGAGCCACTTTTAGGAGGAGTTATCTGGTAACACTAACAAGGAAGCACATTTTGGTACTGGGAGCGGGGCCATTATTGATCATGTGATTTAGAAGCCTTTGGGACCTATTCACAGGAGAAGTTAGAAAGATTTGGAGAGGCTGGCTAGGGAAGCCCTAGAAAGTGGTAAGCCAAGCCTGATGGGAGGTTCTAGTCAAAACTCAGAAGACCAGGATGCTAATTAAAATGCAGATATAAAGCTGAGTGTGGTGGCACATGCCTGTAATCTTAGCACTTGGGAGACTGAGGCAGCAGGATTGTCCTGAGTTTGAGGCCAGCCAGGGCTTCATAGTGAGTTCAAGGTCAACTTGAATGACACAGCGAGACCCTGTCTCAAAAAATAAAACAAAACAACAAAAATAAAAAAAATGTTATGGCAAGCAGGCAGTCATGAGTTCCATCCCTGGTACCGATAAAAAAAGGAAAAAGGCAAAAAAAAAAAAAAAAGTTATGGTTTAGATACAAGAACCTCACACGCTCATAGTTGGGGCTTTTTTTTTTTTTAATTTTATTTTGAAAGTATACAACAGAACAAGACAGAATAAAGCCAACTAAGATCATACAGTGAAACTGGTACAGAACTTCACAGCAGGTTACCAGGATAACAGTAATAGGTATCACAGTATATTTTATAAAGATAAAATATTTTATAAAAATAAATATATTTTATAAAGATTAAATATATTATTTTTATAATAGTTGTTCTTTCAATCACATATATCAAAATGAGATAAAATATAGAACACTATAGAACTTATCAAAACAATATTGAATAGAGCAGTACCATTAATCAGAAAAGAACAAAATAGTAATAAAAATATTTGCCTTCAAAGAGATGGTAGAAGGAAGTCCCCCTTATTTGCTATGTCAACCTCCCAAGAGATGCTCAGATTTCTGGTTCCCATTTGATGATGGGGGGACAGAAGAAGGAGGATAGGGGAAGTGGGATGTTTGACTCTAGGCCATGCATCAGTAGGTTCACTATTGCTTAGCAGGGAGACAGGCTGGTTGTTTGGTTTCACAGCATCCTAAGTTCCAACATGGTGTGGATCTCAGGAGCTGCTGCTGGTTTTCCCCCTGGAAGGGCCGCAGGCTGCTGGACCACCACCGCTTATCAGGGAGGGGAGGTGCTTCTTTGCTTCCCAGGGTTCTCGGTTCCAACATGGCATGGCTCTCAAGAGCTGCTGCTGGTTCTCCCACTGGAAGGGCTGCAGTCTGCCACACTGCCAGTCATTACCAGGGAGGGGAGGTGCTTGCTTGGCTTCCCAGTGTCCTATGTTCCAACATGGCGCGGATCTCAGGAGCTACTGCTGGTTCTCCCCCTGGAAGGGCCGCAGTCTGCCACACTGCCACTCATTACCAGGGAGGGGAGGTGCTTGCTTGGCTTCCCAGTGTCCTATGTTCCAAAATGGCGCGGATCTCAGGAGCTACTGCTGGTTCTCCCCCTGGAAGGGCCGCAGTCTGCCACACTGCCACTCATTACCAGGCAGGGGAGGTGCTTGCTTGGCTTGCTGGCGTCCTAAGTTCCAACATGGTGTGGATCTCAGGAGCTGCTGCTGGCTCTCCCCCTGGAAGGGCCGCTGTCCATAGTTGGGGCTTTTAATAGGTGACTGAATTATACAGGCAATATGTGACTTGCTGTTAGCAGGTACAGCCTGGTTGGAAGAGGCTGGTCACTAGAGACATGGCCTGGAGGGGTATATCTCCCTTTTTGGCTCCTCCCTTTGCTCTGCTTCCTGGTTCTCATGATGTGAACAACTTTTCTTGACCTGGGCCCTTCCACCATGTAGTTTCTGTGTGTAAGCCTATGAACATGGACTGAAAGTTCTGAAACTGTGAGACAAAAATAATGTTTTCTTCTTTAGATTCCAAGTGTCAAGTACTGTGTCTCAGGGACAAGGAAATAACAAAAACAGTTATATATCAACTTGCCATGATAAATGTATTCATTACATATCACAAACACATACAAATAGTAATAAGAAAAGAAAACAGAGCCAGAAGAAAGCCAATCAAAATTTCACTTACAAAATTCTGCCCAGCATGGTGGCTCAACAGTAGTCCTAGCTACTTGGGGGGCTGTCAGTAGAATTGCTTCAGTTCAAAAATTCAAGTTGAATTTCAGCAATAAAACAAGAAACTGTAAATAAATAAACAAACAAAATAACATAAAATAAACATTAAAAAGAGCCCTCCTTCCTGGTAAGCAGCTGTGCTGCGAGCAATCGGTGGGCAAGCCAGGAAGAGAACCAGTCAACGTCTCCCGTGAGCCTACGGAGAGTGGTCTGAGAATCAAACATCCTATCACCATCTGCCTTGTTAGCAACTGGGGACCAGAAGTCTAAGCATCTCTTGGAGGATGCCCATATGCAATAAAACAAATATGGGGGCAAATATTGTTTTCATCGTTTTGCTTTGTTCTGATTAACTGTTTTGCTCAATTCAATATTCTGTTTTGATAGGTTTTATAATGTTCTTTTTTTGGATTGGTTTTGCTATACCTGATTGAAAGGACAACTATTGTGATATATACTATGGTACCTATTAGTGTTATCCCAGTATCCTGCTGTGAAATTCTGTACCAGTATCACTGCATCGTCTCCATTGGCTTTGTTTTGTGTTGTTCTGTTGTATTTTATTACCTTCAAAATGAAAAAAAACATTAAAAAGAAGGAAAGAGAAAAGAAAATTAAAAAATAGCACAACGGGGGCTGGGGATTTAGCTCAGCGGCATAAGCACCTGCCTTGCAAGCAGGCGGTCGTGAGTTGGATCCCCGGTCCCAATAAAAAAAATAATAACACATTTGCTTAGACATTGGCAAAATAGGCTTTGTGCACATTAATTTTCTCCTTTGTTAAAGTGGTATCCATTTGGAGAGAGAGATATAAATTTTGCTTGGGAACCTCGTTTTGTTCCCTGGTGTGAGCCAGGTGGCTAGACTCAGGGCTGCAGGATCTACTTTTCCAGGGAGCTCGCTACAGCTGGCAAGCAGTACTGGCACTCACCTTGAGTACAGTTGGAATGAGGCACTAAAGCCCATGCTCCTCTCCACATGAGCCTTGCTGCGGCCTGCTTGGGTTTTTTCCTGGCATGCACTAAGAGCAAGAATCTCAAAACCAAAGCAAGCTGCATTACCTTTTGGTGTGCTACATCAGAAGAAAACGCAGCCTTTTCTCTCAATGAGAAAGTATCAAATCACAGTATCAAGAAGAGTATGTGGAATGAGAGATGTCACAGCCATTACTGGAAAATCCGATCTCCCACAAAGGATTGATGATTTGGTCAGGAAATTAAGTGGTTGGCAGACTCCTTATACTTCATACCCCACACTGGCTGACACTGGAAGGGTCTGGGCACTGCAGAGTGGATGTGGGCGGGCTGCTTCTGGAGTAGAATGGAGTCTGGCTTCAGAAGGGGGAGCATTTTTCTTAAGCATCACTATGATAATATTGGTAACTTCAGCCAGGTTCCATTTCTAGTAAGAACACTGTGTTTCTCTGAATTTGCCTGTGACAACTAGGGGAAAGGTACTCTGCTTCCTATCTTTCTGCATTGTGTGATTACAGCTAGACAGCTTGTCGAGTGACTGTTACTCTACTCACCAGAGGCCCAGGACTTAAAACTTTCACAGTGATATTCTGAAGAAAATAAAAACCATGTTAATATTAATTGTTTACACAACAGTGTAAATGCTTAATACACATCATCATTAATTCTCAGAACAGAATGAGATACTTTTCTTTTTTGAGAAGGGCTGTCACTAAGTTCCCAACGCTGACCTTGAACTTGTAATTCTCTTGCTCCAGCCTCTTAAGTAGCACATCCAATGCCCACTACAAGGCAGTTTTATCATCTCTATTTCATAGTTAAGGGAGGCACATTGTAGAAAGGTGAAGTCATTGGCAAAATCAGGGTGTATTAGAGTAGGAATTCAAACCCAATTTTATTTTTTATTAATTAAGTTTTTGGGTACATTTTAGGTATATATAATGATTACAGTCATTGTAGGGAATTTTTACCCTTACATGATATAACAATTCTTTTTTGTAAACCCAATTCTCATTCCAGTGTCTCTTTCTGTGATCCTATATTTATGATATTATTTTACTCGTGTAGCAATATTTATAACCACTTTTATAAGTTTTAATTGCTCTAAGCACTAATGATACATCTTTGAACACAGCAAGTAAAATCTAGATTTATTAACTTCTAGGAAGAAAGTGAATACAAGGTATCAGGTAAAGAGTTATGGTAATATTAAATGAAGCTGATGCTTCATGGTGCCTTTAGACCCATATCTAGGTTACAAGGAAAGCCCAGTAATGGCTAAGTTTGTAGAAAATGTAATTCAGGCTGGTATTAAGAAATATACTTAGGAATATTAAATTCTGTGTGTGTTACTTGAGATGGAACACAGGTCCTCATGCTTGCTAAGTATGTGTTCTACTACTGAGCTACATCTTCAGCGCAATATAAAATTTTAAAAAATATACAACGGTATCGTGGTTCATGAAAGTTTTTCTTGGTGAATGATTTGGCCACTAACACAAGTGTTTAGGAAAGTTTTTTGTTTGTGAATTGGTTACCACATGAGGTAATCAACACAACCACAGCTGTCTTTCCCACATGAACACAAATATGCCCATCTTTTCCAGAATTATGGAATGAATTAAATTCATGAATCGAGGTACCACTGTCTCTTAACATTAATCTTTTTTTTTTTTTTGAGACAGGGTCTCTCTATGCAGCTCAGGCTGGCCTTGAGCTCATTTTGTAGCCCAGGCTGGTCTCAAACTCACAACAATCCTCCTGCCTCAGCCTCTTGAGTGCTGGGATTATAGGTGTGAGCCACCACACCCAGCTTCTTAACATTAAATCAAATGATTTTACTATAATTTTTTCCTAGTAAGATTTATTTGTTTATCAACATAGAAATTTTTAAGTTTATTCTATTAGAATAGTCTATTAGGAATTGAACTCAGGACCTCACGCTTGCTAGGCAGGCATTCTGCCACTGACCTAAATCCCCAGCCCATAGACAGTGGTGCTAACAAGAGACTTTACCCATGAGAATTTGCAACTAACTTCTAACTATATACTTTAAACAATCAAACATATTTTGTCTTGCTTCTGCCAACACTATAAAGGTTCTTCTCTCATACCCTCCTTACCCTAGTGGAACACTAACTGTATACAGCCAAGTGCTGCCTGGTTCATGAGTAGCTTATATGTCAGAGTAAATTTTGGGGGTTTTATTCCAAGTGTTCTACAAACACCCATAAGATGGACCACCCATGAAGGACCATGGCCCTTTGGCAATTTTAAGCAGGGAAATGACTGAGCCTGAACACAAACATTATTCTGTTGTGTGGATAATGAATTGTGGGAAAGCAAATATCAACACAGGAGCTGAGAGACAGCGACTTAGTGAGCCTGGAGAAAAGATAACAGATTTGGGAAGTGTGTTAATAAACAATATATTGTAGGTCTTGACTTTAGTTTGGATAATGGGGGTAAAGAAAGCAATTAAGAGCCACACCACATTATACGAAAGAAGTGAAAGACCTATACAGTGAAAATTATAATACACTGAAAAAAGAAATTGAAGATGATCTCAGAAAATGGAAAGACATCCCTTGCTCATGGATAGGAAGAACAAACATTGTGAAAATGGCCATTCTCCCAGAACTGTTACACAGATTCCATGCAATCCCAATAAAAATACCATCAACATACCTTATAGATCTAGAGAAATCACTCCTAAAATTCATCTGGAACCAGAAGAGACCTAGAATAGCAAAGGCAATTCTAAGCAGCAAAGACAAGGCAGGAGGCATCACAATCCCTGACTTGAAGTTATACTACAAAGCAACAGTAGTAAAATCAACATGGTATTGCAATCAAAACAGAGCCGAAGATCAATGGAATAGATTAGAAGATACAACCACAACTACAAACACACTCAACCACCTTATCTTTGATAAAGGAGCCAAGCAGGTTCACTGGAAGAACGACAGTCTCTTTAATAAATGGTGCTGGAAAAACTGGCTCTCCATTTGCTGAAAACTAAAGCTAGACCAATGTCTATCACCATGTACTAAATTAAAATCTAAATGGGTCAAAGATCTGAATATTAAAACAAAAACACTAAATCTATTGGAAGACAAATTGGGTAGAAACCTTGAAGACATAGGAGTAGGTAGAGAATTCATGAACAGGACTCAAACTGCACAGGAAATACTTCCCAGAATCAGTAACTGGGACCACTTCTTATTAAAAAGTTTCTGCATGTCAAAAGAAATCTCCAGCATAGTGAAAAGAAAACCCACAAACTGGGAAAAGATTTTAGTGAACTCTCTCTCAGACAAGGGACTCTTGTGTAAAACATATAAAGAATTAAAAAAACTCAGACCCCCAAAATTCAAAGATCCAATCCAAAAATGGGCATCTGAGATGAATACGCACTTCTCAGATGAAGAAATACAAATGGCAAATAAATACATGAAAAAATGTTCATCATCATTGGTCATTAGAGAAATGCAAATTAAAACCACACTGAGATACCATCTCACTCCTGAAAGAATGGCCAGGATCAAGAAAACCAACAATAACAAATGCTGGAGAGGCTGTGGGGAAAAAGGAACTCTCCTACACTGTTGGTGGGAGTGTAGACTGGTACAACCTTTGTGGAGGTCAGTCTGGAGATTTCTCAAAAAGCTGGGATTGGAAGTCCCATTTATTCCAGCTATTCCACTTCTAGGCATATTCCCAGAAGAACTGAAAGCATCATACCACAGCGATATATGTGCACCTATGTTTATAGCAGCACAATTTGTAATCGCCAGATCTTGGAAACAACCCAAGTGTCCATCAACTGAGGAATGGATAAAAAAGTTGTGGTATTTCTATACAATGGAGTATTATTCAGCTAAAAAGAAGGATCACATTGAGATATTTATCCATAAATGGGTGCAGCTTGAGACCATACTCATAAGTGAAATAAATTAATCTCGTATGTGTGAATACCGAATAGTTTCCCTAATGTAAGTAATGATTCAAATATATAAAAATATGTGGTAATCATGATTCCCCATTAAGTGGCCTTGAAGCCTTATAAAGTTTTCACTTATTAATTGGAAAGGCTTTATTCTGGGCTTCTTGATATGGAAATATTTGAAGCTATAGTATATGAAGTTTTATTCAAATATTTCAAGGAAAAAGACAGACACTCTGGTAACTACTATTAAATCGGGTTATTTGGTGGTGAAGCACTAGGTTGCTGAAACAGTCATGCTTTGACCTTTATTGTTATGTTGTTATGCCCTGTTTTATCTCAATCTCTCCCATATTCATTAAAAAATTATTTAGTTTTTTTAATGAGTTTTTTTAATTAAGGGGAAAAATTTTAAAAATTAGCAGGATATATAATAGTAACTTTTTTGATTTCCTATTAACTTGTTTTGAAGTCCTGTAATGCCCCCACTATCTTGTTTTGACTGATTAGACTCTGTTCCATTCTGTATGATAGTATCAAGTTTGAGGGTATAGGCAATGAGGGTATAGGCAACTTTGAAGGCAATAAGATTCACTAAGATGCCCATTCTGGTTTGACTATTGTCTCCTTTGGAAATCCTGTAATGTTTACAATGCTTAAGGTTTATTGGTCTTGTTCTCTACTGTTTTGTTCAACTTTATAATATCTAATGAGATAGACAATTCTTTTTAAGGAAACAAGAGACATTGTTGATAACCATTGTTGATAACCTTGTACTCTGTTTTACATCATGTGCTATGTCTATCCTTGGTTTTGACTGACAGCTTTGTTTTGCCATATTTGACTTTATTCTCCCCCCCAAAAGTAATAAGAACTAAAGAGTAATAAAACCCAAAATGTGTAAATTTTGTTGTAAAAAAGAGAGGGAAAAAAAGTGCTCTAAAGGATACAACAGCAAGTGTGTTTAGGGGTGTTAAATAGCTGACCATATTAATGTTTTTGGTTGGATCATTGAACACAACTGTTTGCAGTCTCACTGTTTTAATGTCCACTTTGTATGCTTTGATACTGTGATTTGAGCAACTAATAATATGTAATCTATTAACTGGTGATTTCTTACTGTTTTTTTTTTGTAGTTCTGCATTACTTGTACCCTTACACCACTTTGTTTTTTCTCTTCTTCCTTTTAAATAAAATTTAAAAAAAAGAAAATAAGAGGTTACATTATCATTATTGGCAGATGACATGAGATTCCTCATAGAAATCCCCAAAAAACTCCACTAAGAGCCTGCAAGATTTAATAACTACTCATTTGGAGATACAAAAGGATTTTTAGGACCCACTTTCCCTCTCTGTTTTGTTTTCGTGGTGTTTGAAGGTTTTCCCCTTTCTTTTCTGATTTTGTTTCCCCTTTATTTTTTACTTTATTCTTTTTTCTATTAGTTTATACAGTTTTTTCCTCCTTTTTTATTCTCTTCTGTTACTTTTTTTGAGACAGGGTCTCACATTTTTAACTCAGGCTGGCTTTGAACTCACTATGTAACACAAGTTGCCTTTGAAGTTGTGGCAATCTTCCTGCCTCAGCTGGGATTACATGCATGTGCCACCACACTCTGTTACTTTTATCTAATACTAACAGTTTCTGTTTTGCTCCTTATTAGGATCCTTTACTTCACTTTTTCACTTTCTTCTCATCTTCAATTACTAAATTTTTAAAATTTTGCTTTATTTTATGCTTTTACACCCACCTCTCCATCTTTACTAATTTAACCATTAAGCTTTATGAAATATTTAGATAATTAATTATGTGTTATTACTATTCAATACTGTTCTACTGTTAGAGGTAAAGTCGCATTTAGTAGACATTTACTGTGGCTCAATATTTGGCTTGTCTTGATGTTTATTCTAGAACCATAGATCTCTTTTCTATGGTTGAGCTATATTATTGATTACGAGGGCATATCAGTATCATCTGTGGTAGTGTTATTATTGCTAATTTTATTACTACATCCAAGGTGACATATTTGTTGTTATTCATTGATTTTCTCTGTATTTTTCTTGAGTGCCTCGTGTCATTGGCCATTTCCCAGAGAACTGGGTAAGAAGCCAATACACTGCAGCCTTTCCTCTCAAATAAGCAGAGGTGAGGGGATTCCAGGACAGAATCAAAAGCCTGTAAGTGGGCCATGCTCAGAGTGCATCACTGAAAAGCAGGCACTAAGAGACCACTATGCTAGCAGCGAAGTATTGCAGTATATGCAATCCTTCTGCATCAAAAAAGAAATGAACTTCGCTAGCAGCGAAGTATTGCAGTATATGCAATCCTTCTGCATCAAAAAAGAAATGAACAAAACAAAACAGCAACAACAAAAAGAACACAAGAAGACAAAGAAGACAAGAAGACAAAGCAGCAAAATGTGTCTAAAATCTTTCAACTCCCTCAAAGAGGTGTTATGGGGGAGGAAATCAAAAGGCATTCAGCTGAACTGTTTCAAAGGATAACAGAGGAGAATTTTAAAAACTAGATCAATAAGGTGCTTTGTAAAGTTCAAAGAAGGCATGTAACTAAACAAATAATGATGCTAACAAATAGAAAGTTCAGATACTCTTTAGAAGACACTAATAAAAAGCTTACTGAACTAAACAAGATAATGTAATACATGAATTTCCAGCATAGAAAAAAATTAAGAGTTCACGAAAAACACCAAACAGAAATGAAGAAAATTAAAACTTCTGTTAAAAATATGCGCAGTGGTTCCGGGAGAACATGGCGGACAGATAGCAGATACTACGGAGGCTCGCTGAAAGGCTTGGTTCAGAAGTCAGGAATGGTGCGGACTAAGGAGACATAAACCGGTAGAGATATGCTCTGCTGACTCAGGAACAAACTGGGCTGAGAGAAACCAACTTGGAATGCAGTCGTGGTGCTAAAACAGGAACAGAAAAGCCTCGGTGTGGAGGCTATACCCCGCGCCATTGGAAGCTGCGATTTGGGTTTCCCGCTGCGCGGCGACTGTCTCCACAGCGGCTCGGCAAGGAGAGAGACGCGCAGAAGCTCTGGGAACGGGAGTCTGCGAACGGAGTAGAAAACAGGATGGGCAGGGAGGCGTACACTGACTTGTGGTGAGGTGAGTGAGAGAAACTGACACTCTACCACAGTTTGACTCCAGCGGAGGACATTCTGGGCTCGGGCAGTCCTGCGGGAGCAGGGCGCGGTGGCGACTCCAGCCACACATCCCCCTCTCGGACGGGATTGGTGAAAAGTGCCTGGCCTGTGTGAGGCTGCTGGCGGACTCGGTAGGCTGGCCCAACCCAGATCCCAGAGCCTGGCGGTGGCCCGGCGGGGCAACTCCCCCATAGGCTGCCTAGTCCGTAACTCCCTGGTGCGCTGCGGTGGGCGGGAACACCTAGCCAGCCCAATTCAATCAGCCTGTGGCTGACAGGGAGGGAAGCTGGGCCTCCTATATAAGCTTGCATATATAAGGAACAGAGAATATGGGAAAAGGCAGCAACAAAAAAGGCTCCTCGGCCCCCAATTCTGAGAAACAGGCAATAGCAGACACCGCACCAATAGACATAAAGCACCATATAGAGAGCCTCATAGACCAATTCAGGAATGAAGTTATCAATGACCTGAAGCTAGAAGTATGCAGAATAGTTAGAGAAATGCTAAGCACCACCCAGGAAAAAACAGATGGTGGAATGGAAGAACAGAAAAAGAGGGGAGAATTGTTTGATGGAGAAAACAGAGAAAGCATAGAGTACGTGAAGCAGGTTCAAAGGGACTATCAAGA